TGTGCTCGCTCGTTCTCCCTCTCTCTGACAAATAAATAAAATCTTAAAAAAAAAAAAAATCAGTTATTTAACAGACTGAGCCACCCAGGCACCCCAAGCATCCAACTCTTGATCTCAGCTCAGGTCTTTAAATCAGGGTTGTGAGTTAAAGCTCCATGTGGGACTCACACTGGATGTGGAGCCTACTTAAAATATCTACAGAGGGGCCTGGGTGGCCCAGTGGGTTAAACCTCTGCCCCTGGCTCAGGTCGTGATATCAGGGTCCTGGGATCAAGGGCCACACCAGGCTCTCCACTCAGCAGGGAGTCTGCTTCAAATCTTAAAAAAATTTTTTTGCAGGTCAATCTCATCACAAAAAGACCACTAGATATTATATGCCTCCTGATGGGTTGCAACAGGAAGCCCATTTTTAAGATTATATTTTTAAGTAATCTTTATACCCAATATGGGACTTGAACCTATGACCCTAAGATCAAGAGTCACATGCTCTACCAGCTGAGCCACCCCGGTGCCCTCATGACACAAACTTAATAGAAGTACCTAAGAAGTGTTCCTACTAAAAAACCAAACTTGATTTAAACAAACACAGATCTATCTTTTCTAAGAAAATACAGTGGCTAGAGGAACATATTAATGGTATAATGGGCAAGCCATTACATGCAAATACAGGATTTTCCCGAGAAACCCAGAAATTTCTAGGGAGACTGGGTAAGTTCTCCTTTGGGGCAGTGAATCCATCATCCACCCAGTAGGGGGAGCAGAACTTAGTTCCTGAACTCTGGAGATCTCATTGCCACCTAAACTCAGTATGGTGTAAGCAAAGACACGTACAATATATGATTTTTGAGGAGGGAAAGAAAAGGGGCAGACAGAGCTTTAATATCAGTCTTGAAGGAAGGTTTTGTTGTTTGTTTGGGGGTGCGTTTGCTATAATGAACTTTTCAGAGTAGCAGTCCTTGAACCAACCTCCCCTTTACATTTATGAACAGGTTATTTACAAAATGATATGCACTCAACTTCTAAAAAGTATATGTGTATGTGGCTTATTTTTTTTTAACATTTTTTTATTTTGACAGAGCACAGAGGGAGAGGGAGAAACAGGATCCCCGCTGAGCAGAGAGCCTGATGTGGGGCTCAATCCTAGGACCTAGGATCATGACCTGGGTAAAAGGCATACATGGATTAAAGTTAGGTAGGAGGCAGCTTGGAGAAAGAGCGCTGGATCTGAGGTCATTGTTCTTAGTTAAATCCTGTCTCTAATGATTAACCAGCTTGTTGGCTGTAAGCTGTTTGAATCTCTCTTCACAGATAAGGGATATGAAGATGCTTTGAAATAGCGCACAACTGTAAAGCTTTCCCATGGCTCCCAACAGCCTGAGCCATCTGTTGAGATTTCACAGTCCCAGGGATGTAGCAGATCTCCCTCACTTAAGCTCAGTCCAAGTAATTGTGACTGTGGGGCAGCCAGGAGCATGGGGACTAGCTGGTGTTCACTTTGACAAAAAGCTTCAACTCCTCAAGCATCCAGCCAGGCTTTTACCTAAGCAGGAACCGTGAGCCTCTGTATCCCTCCTGGTTGCAGCCTCCCCTTTTAACCAGAGAGGTGAGAGGCTTAGCCCGACTGCCTATGCTGAAGTCAGAATCCATGTGTGGCCCTTCCCCCAATACACAGGTGGCCTAAGCAACGCTGGAGAGAGCTCTGGGCTCTCTGAGAGATGATGGAGAGGCAGCTTCTCAGATAACACTACAGACTCTGCTAAGAGCTGAGCTGGGAGAATTAGAGAAAGACATTGAGGGGGGCACCTGGGTGACTCAGTGGGTTAAATCCTCTGCCTTTGACTCAGGTCATGATCCCAGGGTCCTGGGATGGAGCCCTACATCCGGCTCTCTGCTCGGGGAGAAGCAGCGGGGAGCCTGCTTCCCCCCTCTCTCTCTGCCTGCCTCTCGGCCTACTTGTGATCTCTGTCTGTCAAACAAATACATAAAATCTTAAAAAAAAAAAAAGAAAGAAAGACAGACAGACAGACTTTGGTACTCATACTTCTCATACATCATTGCTGATGAGGGTTAGGGAGTGATCAGCAACAGCTTTGTCCCACTGGGCATCTACAGGTCCAGGTTGGGTCCACCTGTGTTTGGAGTAGGTGCTGGTTTGTGTTTGTGTTTTTTCCTGAGTTCTTTTCCCAGCCCAGGTCTCACCTTCTGTAGCTGGCTGTGGCTACAGCTGGGGACAGCAGTTTTCTGCAGGGGCTCTTCCTCAGCAGGGCATGTTCAGGCCTGTAGGAACTGGCTTAACTGGCTTCTGAGAGTCTTGACTCCACCCCAGACTCCTTTAGGTTCAGGGAAGAAGGTTTGGGGGGCCGGGGGAGGAGGAGACAAGATACAGCCAAAGGGAACCATGAAGTCTGGAAATCCCTGGACAGGTAACTTTATTCTGACGGGAGGATTCCTCAGGCTTCCCTGAGGTTCCACCAATCTTAACGGGTCCCAGAACAGAGACTCCAGCCTCCTATAGTTTGCATCACTTCTGATTCTCCATAAAGTTGTGCTCTTAGAGAAGACTTCCATGCACGTTACCATTGCATAGCTCTCTAGAAGCAGTCATCTATGGTCAGTACTCTCTCTGTAAGACTAGATTCAGGCTCCTAAAGTTCAGGAACTGAGCTTTTATAAAATTATTATTATTTTTTTAAAGATTTTATTTATTTATTTGATAGAGAGATCACAAGCAGGCAGAGAGGCAGGCAGAGAGAGAGGAGGAAGCAGGCTCCCCGCTGAGCAGAGAGCCCGATGCGGGGCTCGATCCCAGGCTCATGACCTGAGCCGAAGGCAGCGGCTTAACCCACTGAGCCACCCAGGCGCCCCATAAAATTATTTTTTATTTTTTAATTGTATTTATTTATTTGAAAGAGAGATCACGAGGGGGTGGGCAGAGAGAGAGGGAGATCATTTATTTATTTATTTATTTATTTGAGAGAGGAAGAACCCCAGTGGGGGAAGTGGCAGAGGGAGAAGGAGAAGCAGACGCCCCGCTGAGCAGGACCCCAATTTCTAGCTTTCTTGACTCCTGTTTTATCCTATGTTCCTGATGGTTTGCTGTGTTGCACACTTTCAGGACAAATTAAGGGGTCATAAACCTATAAACCATAAAAGCATTATTTTAAAATTCCAGGGATGCCTGGGTGGCTCAGTCAGTTAAATGTCTGCCTTTGGCTCAGGCCATTATCTCAGGGTCCTTGTATCAAGTCCTGCATAGGGACTCCTTGCTCATCAGGGAGCCTGCTTCTCCTTCTGCCTGCTGCTCCCTCTGCTTGTACACTCTCTGTTTCTCTCTGACAAATAAATAAATAAGATCTTAAGAAAAAAAAAAAAAGAAAAATTCCAGTAAATAAAATGATGAGAGATATGCTTTCCTTGTACCCCTCAATCTCAGAAGCACTGAGGAGTGCTTCTGTCTGGTCTCTTAGTAACAGCGTTCCTTGTCCCTAGCTTTTGATTATGTTTAGCCAATGGAGACAAGGAGGAAGAAGGAGAGGGATGTGAGAGTGTTTATTCTCCACCATACAGTCCACCTCCTAAAAGCAGGGTCCCTGTAGACCCCTGTCAGGTATCCCTTCCCATATACTATGCAGTGATTACGTTTCCCCAAGGTCACTAGCCCTGGGATACTGCACCACCTCTAGTTGCCTTTCCTTTGTTAAACTCTCTTCAGAAAACAAAACAAAACAAAAACCTCTTCAGTTATTCCTTTCTTGTTGGAACCCTGAAAAGATGGGACAGATTCCACAGAGATACATGATTCACCACCTAATCTAGCTCTGTCACTTGTCCATTGGACCTTGACAGGTAACCCAACCTTTCTCAGCCTCATTTTCTTCATATATAAAATACTATAGGGAGATACACCTGGGTGGCTCTGTTGGTTAGGTTTCTGCCCTTGGCTTGGGTCATGATCCCAGCGTCCTGAGATCGAGTCCCATCACGTCAGGCTTTTTGTTCAGTGGGGAGTCTACGTCTCCCTCTGCCTGCCTCTCCCTCTGCCTGCCATTCTCTCTCTCTCTCTGTCTCTGTCTCTCTCTGATAAATAAATAAATAAATAAATAATCTTAAAATACTACAGGGAGTGAAGAGGTGCTCTGAGGTCACTTTGGTCTCTCCAAATCTATGGTTTTAAGGTGATAGGTGTAGCTACAGAATTCAACCAGGAAAACATGGACCTGAATGGAAAATTATGTAGAATTATTGCATTGAGCATTTCGGTATAAGGGTTGGGGTGTTACCCCAGAATTAGGAGTTGGTAGGGAAAAAGTCAAGAAATGCCTCCATCTATGCTGCATATATTTATTTTTTTTTAAAGATTTTATTTATTTATTTGACAGAGATCACAAGTAGGCAGAGAGGCAGGCAGAGCTCAGAGAGGGGAAGCAGACTCCCCGCTGAGCAGAGAGCCTGATGCGGGGCTCTATCCCAGGACCCTGAGATCATGACCTGAGCTGAAGGCAGAGGCTTTAACCCACTGAACTGCCCAGGCACCCCTGCATATATTTACGTTAAACAGTCTTTCAAGAAATTCTCTAGAGTTATGAGAGGAATCAGCTCAGTTAAGTGTTAGGCTCTTGATCTTGGCTCAGGTCATGATCTCGGTTGTGATTGAGCCCCAAGTGGGGCTCTGTGCTCAGCATGGAGTCAGCTTGAGAGTCTTCTCCCTCTCCCTCTGCTCCTTCCCCCCTTCACATCCTCTCTCTCTCAAAATAAAGTCCTTATTTTTTTTTAATTTTTAAAAAAATATTTTATATATTTATTTGACAGAGAGAGACACAGCAAGATAGAGAACACAGCAAGGGGAGTGGGAAAGGGAGAAGCAGGCTTCTCACTGAGCAGGGAGCCTGATGTGGGGCTTGATTCCAAGACCCTGGGATCATGACCTGAGCCAAAGGCAGACACTTAACAAAAAACTGAGCCACCCCTAAATAAAGTCTTTGGTTGGCGGGGGGGAAGGAGTGCTAACTTTGGCATCACATATACTAAAATTGGAATGATACAGAGAAGATGAGCATGACCCCTGTGCAAGGATGATACGCAAATTCCATATATATTTTTTTAAGTTTTCTGTTTTCTTTTTTTTTTTTAATTTATTTATTTGACAAAGAGAGAGATCACAAGTAGGCGGAGAAGCAGGCTCCCTGCTGAGCAGAGAGCCTGATTTGAGGCTGGATCCCAGGACCCTGGGATCATGACCTGAGCCGAAGGCAGAGGCTTTAACCCACTGAGTCACCCAGGCGCCCCTCCCTATTTTTTTAAAGGAAAATGCAGAGAAATTTTCTCCTACTGCTTTTTTCTCAATTTCACTATTTCTTTTAATCTGTTTCTATATATCTGGTCTCTCTCTGTATTTGTTTCCTTCTTTCTATTTCTGTTTCTTTCCATTAAAACAAACAAAAGGAAAAGAAAAGACATTTCCCTTAGCACCTCCTTAGCAGGTGAGAATCAGGAAGTTCTTAAACAAAGGCACCTGGCAGGCATACAAATGTGACAGCCAGAACTGACCAGCACCTGGAGCTGCCAGTTAGAGTGAAGAAGTCCCAGATGCTGGAAACTTCCCCCTGAAGAAGTTTTCCCAGGCTAAGACCAAGGTTGACCATTTACTTTAACTACACATTGGTCTGAATTTATTTTGGACAGAATTCACCTGGCTGTCTCTTGCACCACTCAGGTGCCTTATACCTGTGATTTCAGGAAAAGTTGCTTAAAAACCAGATGGGACGCCTAGATGGCTCAGTTGGTTAGGCATTTGCCTTTGGCTTGGGTCGTGGTCCCGGGGCTCTGGGATTGAGCCCTGCATCGGGCTCTCTGCTCAGTGGGGAGCCTGCTTCTCCCTTTCCCTCTGCCCCTCCACCCCACTATGCTCTCCCTCTCTGTTCACTCTCTCTGTCTCAGATAAATGAAATCTTAAAACAAAAATAAAAAAACAAAAAGGGAGGCTGAGATTTCTCTTTATCTAGAGTCATGGGCGGCCCTAAGATTTCTAGAGCTGAAGGGACTTCAAAGATTATATATAATAGACCTCCTTGTTTTACAAATAAAGGAACTAAGATCTAGAGAGAGGAAGGGTTTTGCTTAAAGTCACACAAATTAATCAAGAGTAGAGCTGGGGCGCCTGGATGGCTCCGTGGGTTAAAGCCTGTGCCTTTGGCTCAGGTCATGATCTCAGGATCCTGGGATTGAGCCCCAAATCAGGCTTTGTGTTCAGCGGGGAGCCTGCTTCCTCCTCTCTCCCTGCCTGTCTTTCTGCCTACTTGTGATCTCTGTCAAATAAAATCTTAAAGAAAAAAAAAAAAGAGTAGAGCTAATAACAGTTAAAAGGTATGTAATGCCGGGCTCTGCTCTGAGTGCTTTTCATACATCAGTGCATTAAATTTTCACAACAGCTCTCTAGAGGAAGCATTCGTTATTATCATTTCATTTTACGGATGAGGAAACTGAGGTTCACTGGGCAAAGAAACTTGCCTGCACTGGAATCTGTGTTCTCTATTACCACACTTTATCACCACCAGGATTATATTATAACTTGATATAGCTTGATGTGTCCTATAATTTGAAATAGGTGTGGTGGGACTATTTATGTCACAAAAATCAGCAAATGCTACAAATTAGGGCTTGTTTTCTTGATTATCAAGTCTTAAAAAAGTGATGTGGGGTGCCTGGATGAATTTGCCAGTTAAGCTTCTGACTCTTGATTTTGGCTCAGGTCACAATCTCAGGGTCCTAGGATCAAGCTCCTGTTAGGCACTGTGCTCAACAGAGAGTCTGCTTCTCCCTCTCCCTCTGCCCCTCCCCTGGTTCCTTCTCTCTCTCAAATAAATGAATAAATTTTTTTTTAAAGATTTTATTTATTTATTTGACAGGCAGAGATCACAAGTAGGCAGAGAGTCAGGCAGAGAGAGAGGAGGAAACAGGCTCCCTGCCAAGCAGAGAGCCCGATGCAGGGCTTGATCCCAGGACCCTGGGATCACCACCCGAGCCGAAGGCAGAGGCTTTAACCCACTGAGCCACCCAGGCGCCCCTGAATAAAATCTTAAAAAAAAAAAAAAAGTGATGTAGATGAAGAGGCCTAGGGAGATGCAGAGACCCCATTAAAAAGATGGGATGATCACCCCCAAAACAGCCTTAAATCTGAATAGCTTCCAGATGGATGGCACTCCCACACATGTAACCTTTATTTCTTTTTAAATTTTTTTCAAGATTTTATTTATTATTTATTTATTTATTTATTATTTTATTTATTTATTTATTATTATATACACAGAGATAGCACAAGTAGATAGAGTGGTAGGTGTAGGGAAAGGGAGAAGCAGACTCCCCGTTGAGCACAGAGCCCAATGCAATACTTGATCCTGCAGCCCTGGGATCATGACCTGAGCCAATGACAGCCACTTAACTGACTGAGCCACCCAGGCGCCCCCATGTGTAAAAGTAAAATCCTTTTAGGGTACCTGGATGGCTTAGTTGAAAGAACATGCAACTCTTGATCTTGGTGTCATGAGTTCAAGCACCATGTTGGGTATAGAGACTATTAAAAAACAACAAAAAAACATTTTTCTTAAGTCTTCCTCATATCAATAATTGGTAAATTCCAGTGGGGCTGTGTTTAGGCATAAGTTATATAAAATAATACACAGCTATCAAATATTCAGTTCATTTTGTTTTCACAATGTATATATATACACAGACAACCACTTCTCCAGATAAGGCATAGAACATTTCCTTGACCACAGAAAGTTCATTCAAGCCTCTAACCAGTGAATTTCCACCATGGCTACAAACCTGCTCTTCCCCAACCACTGTCTGTCTTTCTTTCTTTCTTTCTTTCTTTCTTTCTTTCTTTCTTTTTTTATTTATAAAGATTTTTATTTATTCATTTGAAGACAGAGATCACAAGTAGGCAGAGAGGCAGGCAAAGAGAGAGGAAGGGAAGCAGACTCCCCGCTGAGCAGAGAGTCCCACTTGGGGCTTGATCCCAGGACTCTGAGATCATGACCTGAGCCGAAGGCAGAGGCTTTAACCCACTGAGCCACCCAGGTGCCCCCCAACCACTTTTTATTTCTTTCAATGATGTTTCAGTCTTCCAGTTGCTCAGGCCAAAAACCCTGGAGTCATCCTTAGCTCATCTTTTTCTCTCACATCCCACATCCAAACTCATCTTTTTCTCTCACATCCCACATCCAAACCATCGGCATTTCCTGTTAGGTAGATTTCAAAATATATCTAAAATCTCACTGTACCCCTGCTGGGGCGCCTGTGTGGCTCACTCATTAAGCATCTGCCTTCGGCTCATCCAGCTCCACAGGAAGCCTGCTTCTCCCTCCCCCACTCCCCCTGCTTGTGTTCCTGCTGTCGCTATCTCTCTCTGTCAAATAAATAAATAAAATCTTAAAAAAAACTAGCTGCTAAATATATATATTTATATATAACATATATATATAAAGTATATGTATATGAATATATAAAAATATATTAAATGTATATAAATATATAAATGTATGTGAAATATATATTAATGTATAATGTATATTATTTATAAAATAAATAAAATGGAAAAATCTGCTTCTCATCAACCCCACTGCTGTCTCTGTGGTCCAAGCCACATCATCTCACCTGACTGGTCTCCAGCTTCCTCACATTCACATGCTCCACCCCTACAGTCTGTTCCCACAGATGCCTGAGTGATCTTTTAAAGATCTAAAAGTTCAGGGGCACCTGTGTGGCTCAGTCAGTTAAACATCTGACTCTTGATTTCGGTTCTGGTCATGATCTCAGAGTCCTGCAATGGAGTCTGCTTAGGATGCTCCCTCCCTCTCCCTCCGCCCCTCCCCACTCATATGTGCTTGCTCTCTTAAAAAAAAAAAAAAAAAAAGGCATGTTCAGGTCAGGATACAACTGTGTAAAACACTCCAGGGCTTACTGTCTCTTAGAGTAAAATTGACCTCAAAGTCTCTATTACTGGCCTATAAGGTCCTCTCCATCTTTTGGATCTCACTCTACTCCTTTTCACTGGCTTACCAGGCTCTAGCTAAACCAGATTCTGCTATTTCCCTGAACACACAAACACATTCCTATCTCACAGCCTTTGTCCTTGCTGGTTCCTCTACTTAAGACACTCTGCACGTGGCAGAGTCCATTCAGGTTTCTGCCTAGTTCTATCATCTTAAAGAGATCTTCCCTGGGGCACCTGGGTGGCTCAGTGGGTTAAAGCCTCTGCCTTTGGCTCAGGTCATAATCTCAGGGTCCTGGGATCAAGCCCTACCTCCGGCTCCCTGCTGGGTGGGGAGCCTGCTCCCTGCACCCCCACCCCCCCCCCCGCCTGCCTCTCTGCCTACTTGTGATCTTTGTCTGTCAAATAAATAAATAAAAATCTTAAAAAAAAAAAAAAAAGGAGTTCTTCCATGACTGTCCATGCAAAATAACATACTCTTCTGACACTCTGTCCCCAGATGGCATGCTTTATGATTTCTTCCCAGCGCCTAACACCTCACATTATATTGTTTATTGTCTGTTTCTTCCAGTGGTTGTGCTGTTAAAATGTTTAGCAACCAGCTCTCTGAAAAGTATGAATGCATAGATACACACGCATAATTGTATCTATAAATTTCACTGATATAAAGATGTATACAATTTAAAAAAAAAAAAAGGGGGCGCCTGGGTGGCTCAGTGTGTTAAGCCGCTGCCTTCGGCTCAGGTCATGATCTCAGGGTCCTGGGATCGAGTCCCGCATCGGGCTCTCTGCTCAGCGGGGAGCCTGCTTCCCTCTCTCTCTCTCTGCCTGCCTCTCTACTTGTGATCTCTCTCTGTCAAATCAATAAATAAAATATTAAAAAAAAAAGATGTATACAACACAATTTGCAAATAATAGCAAAACGTACTCTTTATTGTAAATTCCCTATTTTCTCTTAATGCTTTTGTTATTTGCCAAATTCTTGTAACCATAGCCAATCTATCTCTGCAACTAATAAGTGTAGTTTCAACATAAATGTGGCTGAGATTTTCACTTACAGGTGGAGCGTTTTACACCACCATCAAGCAATTCTCTGATTTTCAGGTGTATACAGGTG